GATGTCGAGCCACCAACATCTTGAAGCGGTCACACTTCATGCTCGCATAGGTGAATTCTTTCAAATCGTGCTCTGCAACAAAGCACTTTGTCAAAGAATTCATTAAGTATAAAACAACCTCTTTACGTTGCAAACCAAGATGCTTACCTCGGGATGATTTACTTCTAAGCATCTACAACCACATATTAGAGGATTTAACTCATTGAACTCAAGATCTAACGTTGTATTAGACGTTGAGTTGAGATTCCTCTAATTGTGATTTAATCAATAGGCCCAAGACCCATCCCTATAGTCATTTTGTGCAGCATGTCCCTCGACAAACTCTTGGTAAGAGCATCAGCCAAGTTTTGTTTCGTACGCACAAAATCCACCACTATGGCCCCGTCTTTTATAAGACCATTCACATAGCTATGTCGTAAACCAATATGTCTAGAGTTTCCATTATACACATGGCTATATGCCTTAGCCAAAGTCGCTGCGCTATCACAATGTATTGTGATAGGCGATACCGGTTTAGGCCATAATGGTATCTCGAATACCAAATTCCTTAGCCATTCTGCTTCTTTTTCCGCAGAAGCTAAGGCAATGAATTCCGACGCCATCGTCGAATCCGAAATGCAAGTTTGTTTCTTGGAGGCCCAAGAAATTGCAGCTCCACCTAATAGGTACAACCAACCACTCACCGAGGCATGATCCTCTTCACTAGAGTTCCAACTCGCATCCGTATATCCTTCTAACACTGAAGGTTGACCCGTGTAGCGAAGACCGTAATTTATGGTCTGTTTCAAGTATCGAAATACTCTCCGTACAGCATGCCAATGATGTACGCTTGGGTTACTAGTGTACCTACTCAACTTACCAACCACGTATGCATGCTATGTCGGGTCTAGTGCTAGTCATAGCATACATTAAGCATCCAATGACACTAGCATATTCAAGTTGAGACACTGGTTCTCCTTTGTTTGCTACTAATTTAGCATTACAATCCATCGGTGTAGAAACCGGAGTACTATCGTAGAGATCAAAACGTTTTAACACTTTCTCAATGTAGTGTGATTGAGAGAGTGAAATCGTACCGTGATCTCTCATTATCCTAATTCCAAGGATAACATCTGCTTCTCCTAGATCTTTCATCGAAAACTTCGATGACAAGAAATCTTTTGTTTTCTTGACTTGCTCTAATTCCGTACCGAATATGAGCATGTCATCCACGTACAAGCAAATCATAACCCCATGACCATTCTCGTCAAACTTGCTATATACGCATTTGTCTGATTGATTCAGACGAAACCCGTTAGCCAATATCACCTCATCAAACTTTTGATGCCATTGTTTGGGTGCTTGCTTTAACCCGTACAATGATTTGACTAACTTGCACACTTTGTGTGCTTGACCCGATAAGATAAAACCTTCTGGTTGCTTCATATACACCTCCTCTTCAAGATCACCATTTAGGAATGTCGTCTTGACATCCATTTGGTGAATTACAAGATTTTTGATCGAAGCAAGAGCGATCAATAATCTTATCGTAGTTATTCTAGCTACCGGTGCATATATATCGAAATAATCGATACCTTGTTTTTGTCTAAAGCCCTGAGCTACTAGACGAGCCTTGAACTTATCAATAGTTCCATCGACTCTCATCTTCTTCTTGAAGATCCACTTGCAACCAATCGGTTTACAACCCGGAGGGGGATCTACTAAGATCCAAGTGTTGTTGCTCATGATAGAGTCCATCTCATCATTTATCGCTTCTTTCCAGAACGCGACATCTTGTGATCTCATCGCCTCATCATACGTCCTAGGATCTCCCTCGATATTATATGTATAAGCGAG